ATGCTCCGACAAGATGATATTAATTTTTGGATGGCCGTTGCTTGTAGAACTTTCGGTCCCCATGCAATGGCTCCATCACTGTTGTTACAAGCTAATTGGAATAATTCATTCCGAGGGTGTGACTGACATAAATCTATTCAAAATGAATTTAAAAAAATGTTTTTAGATATGCTTCACAAAGGCTACTTTTCCCATAATCAATATCTACAAATAAAAAATGTCAACTGGTACTTGATCCTGTAAATGATTTTGGAGTTCTCTTTGGCACGAGACTTACTTTCAAGACTCATATGATTCTTCACACATCTCATCGAAATGTTTTTTACGTTAAAGAATTCGTTTGTTTTGCAAAATAGGCGCAATACCAGTTTTTTTCAGCAACTTCTCCAGTCTCTTTTATACAATATTTCATTGGACTTTGTCTAATTTTTTGTAAAGTTTTAAGCAGACCATTCATTAGTACAACCTAAAGGGCAAAGATAATATCTTCTTTCTGAATTTCTATATTCACTTGATTGAGTTCGCGAAACAAATTGGCCCAAATAGTTGAATTAAGAATACATTTTAAATTCCTTATAGTAGTTAAGAAGTGACCTGTCTCGTACTTAGTTCCTGGAGCTAAGGCTTCCACTAAGGCATTCACAGCAATATGTTTCGCCGACCATCTCTTCTGACTAGATACTTTTACATTTGTTTTAACATATTTTTTTAAATATTGTCACACATAGTAGTGGAACCAACATTAAAGCAATATACTTTTTGAATCAGTCCAAATAGGTTGATAGCTTCCTGGCATGATGAGGCAGAAAGAACAACAACACACACGTTGACCTTGCCGCCCGAGGCATAGGCCTTGACTTGCCGCCCGGGGCATAGACCCCGACTTCCCGTCCGGGGCATAGGCCTCGGCTGGCCCCCCTAGATCCAGGCCTGATTAAACCCACAGTGGAATAAAAAATTATGCTAGAAAAATGTTAAAATATGTTTTTTTCTTAACTAGCTGTCGCCATTACGAACGACAATCTTGAGAAAT